AATAATCTAAATCATGAATCTCTGATGCCATCTCCACTGTTTATCAAATCTTACTTCAGTTCTTTCCTGAATGATGTAATTCCTCCGCTCACACTTAAGTGAGAGAAATCTGATGAAGATGAGAACATGGAAGGGGAGGCTTTAGAAGTAAAAGAAATTCTGGATACTTCAAGGCCAATATACACGTCATGCAACAGCAGCAGCCTTTGCTGGACTCAGAATTTTAACACGGCTGCTGAGATCGAGCCTCAGAATGCAGACGTTTATTACCACCAAAGACAGCTGAAAATGCTGCTTGATCAAGTGAAAAACAGTGGCAGATTTTGATGAATGTATTAGATTAAGACCTGAGTCTGCTCTGGCACAAGCTCAGAAGTGTTCTGCACTGTATCACCAGGCACATGTAGGAAACAGTTCTTGCCAAATCCAAGCAGATATGAAAGGGTTTGAAAAGGTCATAGTGAAATTTCCAAGATGTGCTGAAGACTGCATGCCCAGGCAATGACAGATCAATGACAGTTTGGTAAAGCTAGTGAAATGTATGATAAATGTATTGATTTGGAACTAGATAATGCCACAAAATATGTTCATAAAGGTTTACTCAACTTCAGTGGAAGCAAATTCTGAACAGAGGTTTGGAGCTTATAAGCAAAGCTACTGAAATTGACAACAAATGTGATTTTTGCATATAAAACCATGGGAGCTACTGAAGTGCAAAGAGGAAACACGGAGAAAGTCACTGACAGGTTGACCAAAGCTATTAACCTGGTCAAATCGGAAATGGAGGGCTCTTCTATCCTCACTCTGTGATGCTGCCCATGCCCAGAGAGAAGGTGCAATGAGATGGGGATTAAAACCACCACCATTATAAAACAGGGGAAAGGAAAATGACCCTCTTTTTAGAAGTTTACCCCCTCTTCAAGGACCCCTAAAGACACGGTCATGAGCTGTGCTCAATGGTGGAACTCAGTGTTCCCACTCGTGCCTTTGTCTTGCCCTATGCCTGTTTCATGTTCAGGTGGGCAAAGGGCTGTAGAAAAGCTGTAGTTTTTATTCCCTGTGCAACAAAAGCTTAGAACCTGTCAAAGGGATATTAAAATAAAGATGCACGCAGTACAAATGATGATTGGCCACACAAATAAAAACTTCGATTTGTTAAAAAAAAATTTAATTGGTAGACAGTAAAGCAGATGGCCCTCCCTAATGTGGGTGACTACATCCACTCAGTGAGGCCTGACTACAACAGAAAGTCAAAACCTTTACAGCTTTTCTGAGGCTAGCATGCTTCGGGGCTGCTAATAAGATGTTACAGCAAGTTCTACTTCACTAGTCATTATAAGACTGAAGGAAAAGGTAAGAAAAACTCCATGAGCCAGTGAGCTAGATACAGGCGATGCCCATGCTCTTGGTCTCAGGAAAGAGCCAAGGTTGTTAACATTTTGTTAGAAAGCAGAGGAGGACTTCAGTCAAAGGGGAAACTATCCATTGAGGGTATACTCTAATAGCTTAGCTGATTTCTTAAGAAAAATAGAAAATACCCAATTCCCCCACTCTTTAAGACACAAACGCAAATAATAAAAATATTCTTTATTTCCTTATTGAGGTTTTATTGTTTAGAGAGAAGGGAGAGGAAGAAAAAGACTTGTAGGTTCCCAGAAATAGTGCGAAGATGACAGACACCAAGGGCCAGAAAAGGCCATCTCTTCAAGCCTAAGCCCAAAGATCATCCCTAGACTAGAGCTACCATAAAGAACACATTTCCTTCAACTATTCAAATTATAAATATTTAGTAACACTATCCACACAAGTTCCTTTGTACTTGTCCACAAGTTCTCACGTTTTTGTTAGGAAAATACTGTCACCTACTTTTACCCAGGCCTCAGATTAATGCCTATTTGTTCCAGTTTCTCCCACCTGCTGAATGGTTGCCAAAGTGACCCTTTGCTTACCTTTGCTCTTACCCCTATCCACCCTCCCCCACACTAGCCGAACAAACTCCCAGCCCTAACCTGTTCAGGCGATGCAGCTCCCACCCTCCCACCCCCTTTTCTCTGGGACATTAGCACTTTCCACCTGGCCAGTGTTCACCCTCCCTGCCTTGGATTAAGACGTTTATAGGCGTTAACTAACTTGCATTTACTTAGGTAGCAGAGTAAAACTTGTATAGAGGTCTTTACATCTGTACACCTCTCCCCGCTCCCTTGCTCTTCATTACCACATTAAGTACGATATTGATATATATATATCCATTTACAAAGGGAAATTATAAAGTAATGAAATGGATTTTTCTGTGTGGCTTGTGAAAAACCTATAGGTACCGGGTATATCACGTAAATGAGAATAGATACGTAATACTTATGCCTGATTAGAAAGATTTCTCATGGGTTTTGTCAGGTGAGCACTGGCCAGCATTCTGCTGAAACACTTCAACTTCTATGTGCTTTAAGATTTTGTGTTTTGACTAGTCAAGAATGACACATTTTATACCTAAAGATTCCAATCCACAAATGAATTATTTTCTTGCCATTGAGTGGTAACGACAAAAGAAACGTGTGTTGCATTATATCTAATATAGTATTCAAATAAAACACTAGAGAGTTTAGCTCCTGTACAGACAATGAAAGGATTAATTGCATCTGTAAGTACCTTTAATAAGAAACCAAGTATCTTTAAGAAGAAACAAACTTAAAAGGGAGGAGAGCAAAGGAGTGTATTTTCATTGATCCATATGGGTAATGTGAGCTGTAAACGAACCACAAGGTGGAGAGGTGGGGCCTGGATCAATTAGTGGAAAGGAATAAATAACAAAAATATTTCTTTAAGTTTCTAGAGTTTTAGAGTTCTAGAAAGGGGTCTAAAATTTTCAAAGTCCTCTTACATACGTGATCATTTTACCATAATGATCCCATGCAGGAGGTAGATAAGTGTAAGTTTCCCCATCATACAGAGGAGGAAATTGAGGTGCAGTGTCAAAATTTTTTACAAAACATTTTGTACCTAATAACAGAGAGCACAAGTTACCAGAACGTCGTTGTGAAACCTTTGGAAACAGTTCCCTGGCTCCTGAACGGCAGCAGTGACCTGACAAGTGAAGTTTTCCCTGGATGATATAGACCAAAAGTGATTGACAGGGGAGTATTTTCAGGCCAAATTATTAATCACGACAATCCTGATGGGGTTTTGTATATTACATAAATAGCTCTCTGGGATCATATGTAGATAATGAACAAGAGAAAAAAAGAACGTAGCCACAAGATCTTATTATACTTCCAAGGGGTTAAAGACAATGTTCATGCATTGCACAAATATTTATTGAGCAACTTCCATATGCCAGCCACTGTGTTAGATGTCAGGGATCCCACGGTAAACAAAACAAGTATCTGCCCCCTCCTCACAGAGGTTACTATCCAGGGTGTAGGGAGTCGGGTGAGTAAGATATATACCAAGTTTTAAAAAGAAATCTCTATATGATTACAAACTTTGAAGAGCACTACGAAGAAGAGAGTGCTGCTATGGTCTGAATGTGCACCCCCCCCCCATTCCTATCATTAAAGCTACCCCCTAAGGTGATAGTATTGGGAGGTGAGGCCTTTAGAAGGTGATTAGGTCATGAGAGAGGACTCTCATCAACGGGATTAGTACCTTATAAAAGAGGCCCCCGGAGAGTTCTCTTGTCCTCTTCCACCACGTGAGGATACAGGAAGTCTGCCGCCCCCCAGAAAAAGGGCATCACCCAACCTAGCTGGCATCCTGATCTCGGACTTCCAGCCTCCAAGACTGTGAGAAATAAATGTTGTTTATACCCCACCCAGTCTATGGCATTTTTGTCATCGCAGCCTGAAGGGACTAAGGTGCTACAGAAGCCTGTGAAAGGAGCACCCGATCTAAGCTGGGGAAGAAGAGTAAGCCTCTTTGAGAAAGTGACGTTAAGTGCTGAGATCTGAAGGATGAGCAAGAAGTTGAGGGCAGGACGTAGGCGAAGGACTAAAAGGTTGTTAAGCAGAAGGAAGAGATTGTGCATAAATTCTGAAACGGCGGTGGGGGGGCGCAGGAGGCACAGCACATCCTAAGAAACGTGGAAGCTGTTTCTGGCAGCTGTCTCCACTTCCCTCCTCCCTTCTCCAGCTTACTTCGATTGAGTTTCCATCTTCACAGGTCCACGCCTTACGGTTACCAACGAAGGCCACGCTGCGCCAAAGCTCAAGGGCCACAGGCTGTGCGCTCTGGAGCAGACGTGCTCGCCGACGCGGACCATGACCCCAGGTGCCACGGGAGGCCCCGCGGCTCCCCCTGAGCGCCCTCTGCAGCCCGCGCTGGGCGCTTGCGGCCCTGGGGTAGGCGCTGCTCCCCGCTTTCGGTCGCTGACCCCGAACCTCCCCTGAAGGCCCCCCGTCGCCCTGAGCCTGGTCTCCGCTCAGATCTCAGCCCTGGCCCAGCCTGGATCCCTGGACACGATTCCGGTCATTCCTATGGAGACCCGTGGGTATCAGTTTACCCAGGGGAGGAGGGGACAAATGGGAGGGAAGCACGGTGGTCGTCTGGCCCAGATGGCGGTCGGGGTGGCGGGGCCGAAACGCCCCAGCCTGGGCTTCCCTCAGCCCAAGCTCGGGGCCCCTGACCGGCCTGCCCGCGCCCCGGGACTGGTCTCCAGAGTCCAGGGTCGCCGTTGTTACGACCGCCCTCTGCCATCAGGGGAGTTTCTGGGGCTGTAGGAGGAATCCCCAGCCCGCTGGGTTCGCTGCCCCACGCGCCCGCCCCTTCCGCTCCTCGACCGGACAGAGCGCGAAGCTCCGGGCGCAGTTCCCCAAGGCCACGTGGTGGGGCGGTACCAACCGCGCGCAGGCGCAGAAAGCCTGCACTTTCAGGCCCACCGCGCGGTTGGCCGCGGGGAGGCTGCTCGCGGGCACTGCGGGACGGGCGGGGCGGGGCTGCGGCGCCGGGGCGTGGCCTGAGGGGGCGGGGCGGGGCGGGCGGGCGGGCGGGGCGGGGGCGGGGCGGGCGGGCGGGCGGGCGGGGCGGGGCGGCCGGGCCGGCTGCGTGGCGGTTGGGAAGCATCGGGCCGGGCGAGTTGCTCCTGTCGAGGCTGCGTCCAGCCTGGAGGAAGCAGAAACCCGCGGCTCCGCGGGCTAGAGTGAGCGTCTGCTCCTACGTGGGTTTTCCGTGCAGAGGCCGGGCCGCTGCGGGGCCGGAGGGGCGGGGAGACAGGCTGGGAGCGCTGGGTTGTCACCTAGAGACGCCGAAAGTGATTGCTGGGGAGCCGCGGGTGTTTGTGGTGCAGCTGGGTGGCCTCCTTTCGTGGTACCTCCCTTAGGAAATGGGAAGGCGGAGGACACTAGTTGTGGTTGTCCGGAGTGGGCTTGGGGCGCCGAGCCCAGCCGGAGGGTCGGCGAGCGTGTGCCTTCGCAAGGCCGCCGCAGCGGGCCCTCTGATGGGCTCCCTGGAGTCCCGGGGGCGGGGGCGCAGGGGCAGGTTGAGAACGGTGGGCGCCCGGCTGCGGCCCCGCCCGGGGGAGGCTCTGGCTTTTCCTGTGGGGTTGGGGCGGGCGGCTCTCTTCTAGACAAAGCATGTCGAATGCTCTTTTTTTGTCCTCCAGCTTCCCAGAGCATGGCCAAGCCCAACAGGTGGAAGCCACAGGGAGGCCCGTCTATACTTGATTGAAGGGGAGGGCCCGCTGCCGGAACGGTGGTTGGTGGACGCACGTCCCTGCGACCCGGCAGCCATCTGCCGAAAGGCTGAGCTTTGTAGGGTTAAGAGCGTGGGTCTGGAAATGAGCAGTCGCCCTGCTTAGGATTGGAAGAGGTCATTTAATTCTCCAAGCCTGTGTTTCCTCGTATTCAAAATGTTGATAAGGACATTCTCCCCGCTGCCTCATCGAGTGTGGCAGAAGTTCACTTTGATAGCAGCATGTGAAAGGAGTTGACAGCAGTGACTCCATTTTGTACCCTGGACTCCATCTTGTTAAAAACAGGAAACTGTGCTGACCTTGCTGACTTGCCAAAAGGGAATTATTTTCTGAGAAAGGACTTTCTGAAGAACCGTGCAAAAAATATACTTTTCTGGTAGCAACAAGATGTCTTCGGGTAAGCCAATGAACTGTATGGTAAATTGACCCTCCCTAACAAACACCTGAGGGCGTTCTCACTTTTCAGGGCAAAACTTGTCTGGCTGCTGCCAGCACCTGTGTTCCCCGAATTGCAATTCTGAGACCCCAAATAAATGCTCTTCTTTTTTCGCTTGCCTCTGTTGTAGGTTGACAATGCTTTGCGCAGTAATGACAAGAAGCGCTAACAATTATTGACTCCATCCCAGTACTACCGAGGCACTTTCCATGTGCAGTTTCATTTAATCCTCACAGCAACTCTTTGTGGTAGGTGTTACTGTTATTATCCTCATTTTTCACATGAAGAGCATGGCAACTATGGCAGAACTGAAGTAATTTGTGCAAGGTCCTACTGTAGGTAGGAGCAGAATCGAGCTTGAATTTCCGCAGACTGACTCCAGAGTCTGTCCTCTCACCGCTGCACTGGAGAACCTGAGTCCAGCGTTCCTTTTCTATCAGTAGATTATAGAGCCAACTCGGAATTTGGGCAAGACGCTGAGCTGTCTTCTAAAGTCCAACAGATTTGCTGACTCTGATCATCGGCTCTACCTACAGGCCTTTCATAATTGCAGCTTAGTTTCTCTGAGCCTTCAGTCGCCTTTTTACCTATAAGAGAATCCTCGCAACACACAGATATCCCTTGAAGGGTCAAAAGATTAAGGGGAGGTGCCTAGCAACACACACACCCAGATGAGTACTTGACCTCAATGAAAGAACGTGGAGGAGAGCTGTGTGAGGAGGTAATAGGAAACAATTTGCCTGTCAACTAGTGCCTCTCAAATTGGCTATGGTGAAGGGCCGGTTTGGCTTTTTAAAAAAATATTTCTTATCCATTGTGGACTTAGGTTTCTGTAAAATACTATACAAGTGATTTACTAGAAAAATGAAATGAAAAAGTAGACATAATAGAAACTCAGTTTTTTAAGTGGTTTTTTTCCTTCTTTCCTCCAAAGCCCCCCAGTACATAGTTGTATATTCTAGTTGTAGGTCCTTCTGGTTGTGCTGTATTGGACGCCGCCTCAGCATGGCCTGATGAGCAGCCCTAGGTCCTCCCCCAAGATCTGAACCCGTGAAACCCCGGGCTGCCTGGGCTGAGCCCACAGGCTTAACCACTTGGCCACGGGGCCGGCCCCCCAGTTTTTTAAAGACAGCACAATGAAACTGCATTTTATTAACTACCATTAGCATAAATATAGGGGAAAAAAGAATTTTAAAATCAATACACATTCACTGAAAGTATGTATATAGGTGATGAATACAGAGAATCCCTATTTACATTTTGTCATTCCACAATTGTGCTTATTCTTGTTAATTTATCTAGTATAATTTGGGTTTATGATGCTACTTCTAGGGGGGTAAGCTATCTAAATGACTTCTATGTTTTCTTTTAAAAACTCAGAGAAACTAGTCTCATAGAGTTATATTGATTACAATGTAAAAGGAGATTTTAAAGTAGTTTCAGATAATAATTCATTTTTAACTTTGATCCAACGTAAAACAAGTGATGGTGTGCTTTCTAAATTCATTTTCAGTCCATCAACAGTAAGTTCCACAATTTATCTCGTATAGTTACATTTCAATTACTTTTTTCAAAATTACCTTTCAATAAAAGATAGAGCCATGATTTTTCTACATGTAGATCTTAATGAAAAATAAAATTTAAAGCATTGTCAAATTCCTAAGATGTTTATAACTTCAGACTGGCAATATTAAGATAATCATCTACTTGATTGAGAGTCATTGTGAAATTATGGAACATGCCAAAACCCTGTGAAACTCTGTTCTTCCAAGCTTCTAACTTTTGTTTTTGCCCTTTAATCATATATATATTCTTGGGCAAAAACATGTCGCCGTGCTTCTTGGCGTGGAAGTGTAGGAATCATTAGATGGTGGAGAGAAGAGACAGACAAGCAAGACTATCCAGTTTACATTTTACAAAGTTAGAACCAAGCTAGTTTCTTATTTTGTAGAAACATGAAGAATTTGCCTTGTACTTCAGACATTCTTGACACAACTTTTCCACTCCGTAAAGATCCTAACGCAGCCTGCAGTACGAGCCACGATTCAGCTTCCACGCTGTTACATTAGAAAAGGCATCTTCTGAGATTTCCCACAGGTTGGGCTGTGTCACTAAGCACCCTTTGTAGTTCAGTTGACCTTGGTTTCCTGACAAGAGTTTCTCCCTGAAGGAGTTTATAAGCTGATTACACTCAGTTGCGAGCTCGCAATCTGGGTGACTCGTGCACAGTTTTCTGCTCTCACTGCAGTTGTGCCGTTGGAGCATATTTCTACTCCAAATTCAATTCCAGATCAAACGTGCTGACGATGTGACCCTTCCCAGTTTATTCAGTTCAGAGACAGTTGTGTTTGTCAGCAATAAGGCTGGAAAAAAATTATTTTCACTATCATGTTCAAATTACATAACACTAAAAATACTGTCATTGTAGCAATCTCTGTGAGTTGTCAGGTTGCGATGAAAAGTAGGTAGCTGTCTGTGTTCTATGAGCTGGTCCTCTGTCTTCTTGGCCAGTTCCTAAACACATCAGATTAGGAAGTGGTATTTGAGCCCTATTTATTCTGGGTTTCACCCAAGCTTTCTAAGCAAACATGTCCAGTGCAATCTTTTGCTAAGCTCTCAGCAGCTATAAATGGTTTTTAGTCTTAGCAATCTGAAGAGCAATTCTATGTGAAGCCCCCAAAAGCTTTAATGGTCACATGTATAATGCCAACATCTGCCTCTATCCGCCTTTTAATTCAAACTGTTTCTCAAAAGATCGTTCATTCTGAATTTATTTGGTAAGTAAATGTCACTTAAGTAACAGTTTCATTCATGACTTCATTAGTCAGTACTCTCCCACAAATTACACTGTGGTTTTAGCACTTTGCCATAGAAATTTATTTGCCTAATGTAGCTACCAATTATGTGTGTGCATTTATGTTAAAAGTCTTAAGTAAAAGCCCAAATGATTATAAAAATATATCATAAATGAATCAAAAATGTGTACAGATTATACAATGTTGGATTATAGCTGACTGACCCTTAAGTGGCACACACTGTGAGGAGGTCCTCCTGTGCACCAGCACACAGCTCATGCCACCTGGCCCTCTTCCTGCCAGTTCCACCACGTCCAAACTGCCCTGTGCCTTATTCCGTGGGACAAGTTCACTGTTCATGTGCTGGGGCTTTGGGGACGTGTCAGATTATTACATATGCATTTCTCAAAGCTTGCTCCTGTTCTTTCTGCCTATCTTGTCTTGGACCAGTAACAGCTGACCAGCTGGCCCAGTCCACAGACCACACTTTGAGTAGCATTGCTGTAGAACTTAAGATTGGCACTTGTTGAAACTGCAGACCTCTCCCAGGTACCAAATGCTTACCTGGCAGTGGATGAAAGGATGTGCCAGTTCTTGCTCTGCTCTGGCTTAACCCAGCTGATTATGAGTGTCTTCTTTAAAGACCACATTTTGTGTTACAGATGTGGAAGCTGAGGCTCAGAGGTTGGAGATGACTTGCTGATGGGGATGGAGCTAGAACTAGGTGTCCTGAACCTCAGTCGGGAGCCAGGATGCAGTCAGCCAGCCCCCATGGCCTCTCTGTTCCTGGGCCTTCCTGGGCCAGCAGGGCGTACCCCTTACTTGGGCTTATCCTTGTGTTTTCAGCCAAAGAAGGCTACAGAGTCGCCCTAAAGATTCTCCCTCCCCAGAGAGCTGTGTGCTCCTGGGGGTCAGCAGCGTCAAAGCGGATGCCACTGGATTAGAGTGTAAATGGAGCGGCAGCTGATGAGGAAACGCCTTTCAGTGACTTTGACAGTCCAGAGGCAGTGTCCTTCCCCTGCTCCTGCTGCAGCCCAGCCCCTGACTGGGTGCAGGCAGAAGGAGAATGTGCAGTGAGCCCTCGGGTAGGACAGGCTGGCCAGAGTGAATGTTAGTGAGCACCCTTCCAAGGAGTAAATCAGCAGTCCTCAAAGGAGGAGAGGGGGCCCAGACTAGATGTGCACGACCTCACCCCGTGCTTGGGGCTCCAGCTCCTGGAGGGAAGGAATAGGTTTCTCTTACTTGTTTCTACAGTGCACTGCAAGATGGTCATGAGGTCTCCAGACACTGAAGTTACCTTTTATTTCTAACATAGAAATCGCATCTCTCCTTTTGAGTTGCACAGTATTGATCTGTAGGACTTGCCCTTCATCTAATAGCTTCTGGAATTTTCATTCTTATAGCTGCTCACAAAGCCTTTGTAAAAAGTACTTTGCAAATGTACTTTCCCTTTTAGCCTTTCTGGAAACACAGGGTAAAATGATCTGCCTTTACATTTTCTAGCCTAGTGGCAAAGGCTCTGAACTCAGGCAGACCCAGATTTCTTTTCTTTACTTTTCTTTCTTTTTGGCTGAGGAAAACTGGCCCTGAGCTAACATCTGTTGCCAATCCCTCTCTTTTTGCTTGAGGAAGCTAGTCCATAAGCTAACATCTGTGCTCTTCTTCCTGTATTTTGTATGTGGGACACCACCACAGCATTGCTTGATGAATGGTGTTTAGGTCTGCACCTGGGATCTAAACCCATTAACCCCAGACTGCTGAAGCGGAGGGTGTGAACTTAACTACTACGCCACTGGGCCACCCTGTTTTTTTTTTTCTTTTTTCTCCAAAGCTTAGAAGCTTTTTCTCCAGGATGCAAAATGATAACAGCAAGGAAAGTAATTTATATGGCTGTTCCTTTTCTGGAAACAAATAGAACATGAATGGAACGTTATAGCATCAAACAGATATAACATTCACAAAAGAGATGATATGTTTAGCTCAGGGGTTCTGAACCAGGGGCAGTTTTGCCCAGAGGAGACATTTGTCTGGAAGTTTCTGGTTGTCACAACTGAGGAGGAAGGGAATCTAGTGGGTAGAGGCCAGGGATGCTGCTAAACACCCCACCACACCCAGCACCGTACCCCTCCGCAAAGAATTATCAGGCCCCGAATGTCAATAATGTTGGGTGAGAAACCACGATTTGGTTACATCTTTAAGTTTTCGTCTAAGGTAACCTTGTAGATTCACTTAGAAATTGTTAGATTTATAGAAATTGTTATAGAAATTTTTAAAAACCTGATATTTTACTTTCTGGAGTTTAGCTGTTCTATAAGTATTTACCAAAATCAATAAAACTTTTTCCCTTTTCCTGAAAAAAGTATATTTGTAAACTGTACAATTTAAAAAAGTTAAAAGATACATAAAACTACCAACTTGAGCGTGCTGATGCTTGTACTTTCGGTGTTTTTGGAGAAGGCGATGGCGGGGGGCGGGGTGGTGTCTCAGTTTGCAGGCCTTGTGCTGGGAGGGAGCGGGCGGCACGGGGCTAGGTCCAACGGCGGTGAGGCTGCCGCTGG